AAAAAAAAAAATTTTCTCACAAGACAGAAATTGGATTAGACCTATAATTGAATAGAAGGGGACCTGAACTAGCTTCAGAATTGAGTCATAACAGGATTCAATGTGGATCATACAATTCCCACATTCCCTCATAAATCAGGTCTTCTTGAATCCAGGCCAGTACTCTATTCATTGAACCGTATAGTTACCTTATCTTTCTGATTCTGAGAGTCAGGAGAAGGGTCTGATTTGACAGACAAAGCTAGATTATGAATAGTTTAGTTTTCTTTCAGAGAAAACCACCTTTGGATTCTGCTACGGATCTGCTGGGTCTTGACACTATAGATGATGGGGTTCATCAGCGGTGGGAAGAGAATGTAGATGTTGCCCATGAGGACATATACCACTGGAGAGAGGTGCTTCCCAAAGCGGTGTACCATGGTCAGACCAATGATAGGTATGTAGAAGACCAGGACAGCACAGATGTGGGAGACACAGGTTTGGAAGGACTTTAGCCTCTCCTCTCGGGATGCAATAGCCAAGACAGAGTGCAGAATCAGGATGTAAGAGATAAGGATTAGCAGAGAGTCTAACAATAGAGTGCAGATCACCAGGGCCAGGGCATAGAAACTATTGAAATGGACTTCAGAACAAGCCAATCGCAGAAGGTCCTGGTGCAGACAGAAGGAGTGGGAAAGAATGTGGGGGCGGCAGTAATCAAAAAACTTTAGGCGGATAATGGGAGGGGTGATAAATAGAAAACTCCTGACTAAAACAGCCACTCCAATTTGAATGATCCTGGTATTGGTCAGGATTGTTGTATACCTCAGTGGGTTGCAGATTGCAATGTAGCGGTCAAATGACATAGCAAGTAGTACGGATGACTCCATGAAAGACAGCCCATGGATGAAATAGGTCTGGATGATACAGGCATCAAGGCTAATCTCTTGAATGAGCCCCCACAGGATGCCCAATACTGTGTGCACAGTGGACAGCCCCATGCACAGATCAGTGAGGGCCAGCATAGCCAGGAAATAGAACATGGGCTCATGCAGACTAGGTTCAGTCCGGATTACATGAAGGATCATGCAATTACCCAAGAGAACCATGGTATAGATGGAAAAGAAGGGGAGAGAGATCCAGGCATATGATTGTTTGAGTCCTGGTAAGCCAGTGAGGAAGAAATGTGAGGATGTAATATTGAGGCTAGTCAGAGCAGACATCAATGAACATAGATGACTATATAGCTAGGTCAGTGATTACTTCCTTTGTGAACTGGCCCTTAGTTCATATTATTTTTAGACTTTCTGGCAGAAAGGAAAAGAAAAGATAGTTATAAAAATCTTAATCAATAAACATGAGCTACGTGGCAGAGTTCAGAAGCTAAATAAGAAAGAAATATAACTTCCCTAGAGATGGGGGATGCATTACCTGCCTACTTCTCTCTAATCCAGGTAAGTTTTCCCTTTTGATGCCAAGATTCCAATTCCCATGTCCTTGATATGAATCTTCATCCTGAAAATCAGAGAGAACATAAGCTCATGGTCTAGAGTCAGAGTAACTATGAATGTTGTGATGAATGAGAAGTCTGAGAGACATAATTTCTAGGTAATTGATTACCAATTGATTAATTATACTACCAGATAATTAAAAGATTGTGGTCAGTGACCCTCCTGGAAGTCAAAGATGAATTATGGAAGCATTTCAACATTTAAATACCCTTGGAGAGTAGATGTTCCCAACAGGCAGAAATCAACTCTGATTGGTTAACAATTAATGAGAGAATGAATATTATAATGAGAGGTGGGCTTATTCTAATGAGGGGCTGGGAACATGACTCTGATTATGTTACACTTGGACAAAGAGACTATTTCTATGCATAGACTGATACTATCTCTGGCAATTTAGACAAATGGCTCCTAACTCCACTCAAACCACTTACATAGTTCAACAATGGATTAGAATTGACCTGGATTAGATTCTCTTTGTAAGGTCCTCTAGTTCCATATGGTCCCACCCAAGATCCAGTCTCCCCTGCCTTTCACAAGGACTAGGCTTTCAATGAGGAATTAAAAAGGGGGAGGGGGGAACAACAACCATAGATCCTTATTTAATAATTGGCTATTAATATAAAAGAGAAATAATCATTTCTCTCAATGTCTACAAAGTCAGGGTAATGATGAAGAATCTTACCAGGAAGTATAGTTTAGAAGAGGGGACACAGGCTGTAGGGTGGAAAAAAAGACTCTTTTTGTTTTGTTTGATGTATCTGGAATATTTGTCTTCCAGTGATTTCTCTGAGCATCAGAATAGAAAGATGTGGTTGTCAGAGGAAATCTTTTTCATACACTGTTGTCATCTCTGTTTTGTCTCTGTTGAGCTCTCTCTTCCACTGTCTTCACTCACCAAACCTGCATCAATTACTTGCTGCATAGGCTTCTGTTTTCCCTGACTCCTAATATGGGATCTGAAGGAAAGCTCTTTCCTTTTCATAGCATCAGGAATAAGGGAGGTAGGACAGTTGGATTTATGTATGACACTGTTATCAAATGAACCCTGGGAGGGCATCTACTGTCTTGGGACAATCAACTCATTTTTGTTCTTCTGAAGCCAGGGGAATATGCTCTAACTCTCTAGTCTCGGAGTTCAGCTGTGATAGCCATTTAATAATTTCATTCATTCTTAAACTACTTATTTGCTCCAAAAAAA